TTGTGGAACATGTGGACAGGTCTGTGGAACAAGCGCGGTCAACCCTTCGGAGCAAGTGTGGACACACATATGTGCACAAGTGTGCACAGATTTGTTGAAAAAAAACGTGTCAACACGAGTGAGCTTTCTTCATGTTGGTTCGATGTTTGACTGAAACCACTGGCCGGAAATGTTGAACACATACCGTGCTTTGTGGCTCGCAGAAACCACAATGCCTCGTTTCTTTACAGATATGAAGTGCAAGCGCCCCGAGTAATGCCATTTTTGTCTTCCGACCCCTTCCTTTCGTTTTGCTGGCTGCAGTGGAATGAAAGAGCAACAGTGCAAAGAGCTAATTTGGCGCTGCACCAGCAAGAGCGGCATATCAGCCTCAAATTATAAAAGCACTTGGCAGATGAATTGGGGCTAATCTCCGAAGCGCAATAAAGGATCGCCGCACAAACTGAACTCACTCAATCGCCCACAAGAACTCAGGAACGGAGCCCTAATTTGTTCCGTAAATCTCTGTGCCGTAGTGAGCTGCCGCGGATCTCGTAAAGCTGCTGGCACCGTGGCCTTTCGTTTGGGCCTGTGGCGAATTGTTAATTGTTCCGCTTTGAGGAAACGTCTGCTGCCAAGGCTGTGATAGCCATCCGCAGAAGGCTGTGATCCCGCCTTGGCCTGAGATGCATGGCAAATTAAACCGACTGAGCCCTTTCCCTCCGGGATCCAAACATGCAAGACGCGCAGATGATGACACAATTGCAATGCCCTATCGATAAAGCAGGCTGTTGCCAGCCGCATTTCGCGCGACGAAGGCCAAGCAGACTGAGGACCGCGCACAAAGCTTGAACCATATTTGTTCAGCTGTGCTGCTTATGAATGCAGTGTACGCAGCAAATGTTTGCAGTAGGTATGCAGTATGTTTGCAGTATGTTTGCAGATTGTATGCAGTATGCATGAAGTAGTCATGCAGTATGTTTGCAGAGTTTATGCAGTTTACAAGCAGGAGGTATGCAGTATGTTTGCGGAGTGTTTGCAGTATGCATGCAGTAGGTTTGCAGTATGTTTGCATAGTGTATGCAGTATGCATGCAGTAGGCATGCAGTAGGCATGCAGTAGGCATGCGGTATGTTTGAAGAGTGTATGCAGTATGCATACAGTAGAAATGCAGTATGTTTGCAGAGTGTGTGTAGCATACATGCAGTAACTCTGTATGTTTGCAGAGCAGCAGAGTGTATGCAGCGTACATGCAGTAAGTATGCAGACTGTTTGCAGAGTGTATGCAGTGAACACGCCGTAGTAATGCAGTATGTTCGAAGAGCGTACGCAGAATGCATGCAGTAGGTACCCAGTATGCTTGCAGAGTGTGTACAGTATGCATGCAGTAGGGAAGCTGTTTGTGTTGCAGAGCTTATGTAGTGTACATGCAGAAGGTATGCAGTATGTTCGCAGAGTGTATGCAGGGTATATGCAGCAGTAATGCAGCATGTTTGCAGAGTGTATGCAGTGTACATGCAGTAGTAATGCAGTACGTTCGCAGAGTGTATGCAGTATGCTTGCAGAGTGTATGCAGTATGCATGCAGCGGGGATGCAGTATGTTTGCAGAGTGTATGCGGTATGTTTGCAGAGTGCATGCAGTTGGGATGCAGTATGTTTGTAGAGTGTGTGCAGAATGCATGCACAAGTTATGCAGTATGTTTGCAGAGCGTATGCAGTAGGTGTGCAGTGTGTTTGCAGAGTGTATGCAGTATGCGTGCAGTAGGCTTGCGGTATGCTTGCAGAGTGTATGCAGTATGCATTCAGTAGGTATGCAGTATGCTTGCAGAGTGTATGCAGTGTACATGGAGTAGGAATGTTCGCAGAGTGTATGCAGTGTACATGCAGTATGCAGGCGGTAGGGATGCAGTATGTTTGCAGAGTGTATGCAGTGTACATGCAGCATGTGTGCAGAATGTACGCAGAGTGTATGCAATGTACATGCAGTATGCATGCAGTATGCGTGCAGTATGCATGCAGTATGCATGCAGTAGGGATGCAGTATGTTCGCAGAGTGTATGCAGCACGCATGCTGAAGGTATGCAGTATGTTTGCAGACTGCATGCAAGCGTCCGCAGTATGTTCGCAGCACGCCTGCAGTATGTTTGTAGTATGCATGCAGTATGTAAAAAAATAGGTTTTCAGTATGTTCGCAGAATGCATGACGTATGGTTGCAGTATGCATGGAGCATGTATACATTAGGTTTTACGCAGGATGTATGCAGTATGTATGCATTATGTATGCCGTTTGCATCCAGTATGTTCGTAGTATGCATGCTGTGTTTTTGTATGATGCATGCAGAATGTATGCAGCATGAACGCAGTATGGATGCAGTATATTATTCAGAATGCATGCAGCGTTTGTGCAGTGTGTATGCCGCATGTATGCAGTATGTATTCAGTATGTTTGTGCGGGATGTGTTCAGTGTGTGTGTGTGCGCGTGTGCGCAGTTTGTGTGAAGTTTGCGCGCAGTTCGTAGTCTGTATGCAGTCTGTGTGCAGTCTGTGTGCCCCCATGGCCCCACAGGATGCTGAAACAGTGGCAAAGGATAGTGGCAAAGGCAGCGAAGCCCCAAGAGGGAGCCAGTGGAGGGTGCGGTGCTGGAGTGGAAGGCCGGGAGTCGCAAATTGACGCATGCAGAGACAGCTGGGCAGTGAAAGGACGCAGGCATGTGCCCTGAGCTGGAATAAGGGTTCGCAACGGCTGGAAGGACAGCTTTGGATGGGTGAAGGCGGCTTCTGCAATTAACCACCCGTCCGCCAAGCAAAGAGATGGAAGGATCTACGTCCACAAGCAGGCCCGGACATGGACGCAGTTTTGCCATGGCCTTGCCTGCGCGCATGCAAATAATTGGTTCGTATGGCCTGCATCGGCCAACAACTTGCAAGACCCATTGTTTAGCCCCAGTCCAACAGAAATGCAGAGCCAAATGCAGTTTGAGCACTGCGTCGGCAGGGACCAGAGAGATGTTGAGCGCGAGGATGTCACGACTGGAGCAATTACAACGGGATGTCGAGTGAGATTCCATGTGTACAAGGAGCTTGCAGCCCGCGCGAAGGCAACTGCACGCAAATGCCACAAACTGCAGATGCGGGCTGCTTTGTTTCCGTTGCTTCGCACTTGCGCTGGCTTGTTGCAGGACACTCAAGGACTTGGCGCTGCAGAAGCGCAGGCCAGTGACCTTTATGGAAGTACAGGGAGCCCTGTCGGGCGTCATCATCTCCTTTTAATTCGAAGCCAAATTTAGGGAGGGGTCACATCTCGGCACACATCATTGAACAAAGCAAAGAAGGCGCGCAAGCCCAAGCTATTTCCAGTTTTCGGTGCAGTATTTTTCAGAAACATGGCACAGGCAATATGATGCTCATAAGCCATCATTTTTTTTGCATTTGCTGGGCGCTTGCAAACGTTCCTGCGAAGCAAACCATGGCACCTTTGGGTTGCTTTTCAAATCGTTCTTGAGACCATAGCATGGTTTCTGCTGACTGGGTGCATGTGCCACCTTACTTTGCCGGGGGTGTATTTGGATGGATCAGCTTTCATATACACTGGGCGCCGTGCCAAGGTTCCTTGTTGGATGACAGTCTTTTAGACGCTCTCGCTTCAATGCAGGGGTGAATTTTTGACCTTCCCTTCCCTTCCCCCCTTCCCAAAAGAAGTTGCATCCCCGGAAATGAGACTTGACATGGGGAAGCAGATTGCAGCACAGTCAGTAGAAGGTGCCTAGAGGGCGGTGCCGTATTCATGGCAGTATTCGCTTGAATTAATGATTCAACATGGGTCAAATAAGTGGTCTCATCTCTAGCTTTAAGATGTATGGACAACATCTTTCTTGGGTTTTCCAAAACAAGACATACAAAACACAACAAACAGAAAACAGAGCATACCACCAAAATAACATATAATATGTGCAGGATCCATAGTGCTCCTTCGTCGGAATCGGTTGTCTTTCGTATTTCATTGAACCTGGCCAAAATGCGTAAACTGTAGTTTTTATGTCGTGTGGTGAGCGACCCTGATGCTTAGTCTTCTGGGCAAAGGATGAACCTCTGTCCGAAATGGGGATGTTAAGAAGCCCCTCATCCTAGGGACTTGTATACGGACAAGTTCGGATGACCATTTGTTGTTTCCCTGTTTCCGCCCTGATTGAGGGAAGTTGTTCGCAATCATATGCGCATCAACATTTCAACTCGTCAAACATACGCTTGGCTTTGGCGGGCTGCGCAGTCTTTAATCTGTGTGAAATTAAACAGGCACCACCCAAACCATGAGAAGAGGTGATAATCTTACAAAAAGGCAAGCCTTCTCCAGCTTATAAGACCTGGAGATAAGGACGACACCTCTAAGGATGACACCTCAAATCATAATTGCATGTTGAAGATGAAGAGAGATGAACCTAAATCTCGTGTCCCACCAGTGTTGAGCCTTCCAGAGTTCGGGGGTGGTCAAGCAACAAAACCCATGCACATTTTTTTTTTGTGCGGGACTCTTTTTGTTGTCATTTATCCGTCAAACAGGGGCCATAAATTCTGGACCATCCGAGTTGGCCATCCTCTTCCGCACCGCACATCAGCAAGTCCCAAGGCCTTCACGGCAATGGCCGACTCGTTTGCTCGACGTCGACGCGCTGCAGAGACTCGGTGAAGCCGACATGGCTGTGTTTGTCCAAAAACCGGGTAACCCCAAAATGGGTTGCCCTGGTAAGTGGAAACATGGACACAAACCTGCGGATTGCCCCACCTGTTTAGATAGGTGCACCACCCATTTTAGGCTATTTTAGTGGGGATTGGGATGTTTACATGGCCAATTGGTTGAGGGTGCCCTTTTGGTCGCTTGCCAAGGGGCAATTTCTGGGAAGGGCAATCGAGCCTGGACGTTTCAGGAGTTCGTTGCCTGGCATGCGAGCATGGTTTGTGACTTCAGCAATGCCGAGGGTGTACCTTGGCAGCAAAGTGGTCCCCTGAAGAACTTCTTGATTTGATGCACGTTTTGCTGTTGCAGCAGCTCTTGCCGCTTCGATCAATCCCTTTGCGTCTGCTGCGCGATTTGCAGAGCTTGCTGTGCATCGAGATCTCAGGTTGACAGCTGCTTGGCTGATCAGATGGGGCACTGTGGAGGGTTACTGTTTAGCAGCCTTGCCAATCAGCCTTGCACCAGCTGCTGCAGCCGAGGCAACTTCAGGACAGGGCCAGAGTGATCTAGCAGCATGCTGAGCAAGAACTGTATGCCACAGACAGCTCGTGCTTGCTTCAGGACTCTCTACGTTTGAACAAAGTGAAACGATTGTACTGGATATGTAGATGAGCAGAGCACACCAGGTTGTGCAATTAATGAGAGGCTTAACCATGGAGCGCGTGCAAGTTAATGTGTGCGAGCTGCTTTGCGCAAGCTGCTTCGTACAAGTAGTCGTGCGCAGGTTGCTCTCTCGACATAGCTGCAATTTGCCATGTCAAAGTTGCTGCATGCAAGCTGCTTGGCGCAAGCTGCTTAGCGCATGCGACGCGCAAGGTGAAAGTTGTTTTGTCTCCAAGCTTGCCGGCTCGAGGGCTGGCAGTCACAGCCTCTGACGTGTACGGGGTGAAGATCGTGGGGGAAGAGAACAGGAACGAGGGGTTTAACAAGTTGGCAGGTGCTTTTAAGCGAAATCGGATATTGCTTGCGAGATGTTCATCCCACATAGTAACCAAGAAATACAACTCGTTTTGAAAAGGCCCCTTGCGAGGCCTGGCCCACTTGGTATCCGGAATCCCTTGCTTTTCCACAGCTTGCGAGGTTTGGCAACTCAAACGTTCCACAGAGGCCTGCGTCAATCCGACGCATGCCAGGCAGCTGGCTTTGTTATGAAGTCGTTTTTCAATTTGCATGTTTCTTTGTCGTATCATCCAAACTTGATTAAGTGGAAGAAAAAGACGCTAACATCATGGGAACAGCAAAAAGACCACCAGGTCTGTACACAACCAGCTTGCTTGCGCCGAGTTGCCTGTATGGCGCAGTTGCCCTCCGCAGCTGCTGCAATCCTTGCTGCAGCAAGAGCGGCAGCTGCAGCTGTGCCAGCAAGGGCAGCCGCGGAGCAGGCGCCGGGTCACCTCGCATCCGGCAATCTGTGCTCATTCGCAGCAACACGTCTTGATCTCAGATCCATTCAGCTGTGGGCAAGGCAGTCGCCAAGCGGCTGGAGCTCCAATCGAGCTTTGAGCGCGTGGAGCCTGATGTGCAGGCCAGCAATCATCCAGGAAAGTTCGGGCTTGTGCGGCTTGTGCAAGGCCCTGCTTCTGCGACTGCGCAAGCCGTTTGTGGATGTTGTGCCCATCGACCAGGCGCACAGTTTTGCTCAATGGTCCTGGCTCCTGAAACCACTGAGTCGCAGGTAATGACCTACCTGCGCGGAGCAGTGCTTCGTCGAGGACACAAGCAGGCGGCGATCGGACTCTGTCCTCGCGTGAGGTGCCTCAGCCTTGATACAATTCTCAGGTGCTATCGGGCAGCTGGCAAGAGATGACAGAACTGCTCCAGCTTGCTCGGGCGGCGTTGGCAGTTTCCATGCTTCCGTTGCCGCTGTGTCTCATGCATAAGGCCAGGGGGTCGGGGGAATCCTGCCTGCTGCAACTGAGGGTTCTCGAGCAGCGCGCGAGGTGGCAGAATGTGTCCTTCCAGGGGAGTTGTGTGGACTGCTTCCAAAGGCACGGGAACGAGCGTTGCGTTACCACATGCTGAAGGCAACGCACGCATGGCAGGTGCAAGCGCATTGGTCGCGCGTGGAACAAGTACGCTTGAAAATTCGAAGCTGCGGCGTACCTCGGCTGGTCGAAGAAGCCGCTAGCAGCTGTACCGGCGCTGTTTTTTTTTTTGCAGTCAATTTTGAGTTGTCTGCTCCTGCAGGGTTCTGGGAACGTGCCCCTGGTTGCTGCAGCTGGCCCTTTGTCCCGTGCTTCCTGGCTGAAGCTCATTTGTGAGTGCGGGCCCAGTGGGGGGGGATTGTTCACACGTCGTCATGAGGCGCAACGCCGGAAGATCAGCAAGCGCCTCTTCAAAATATCGAGGCGACAAGCCCAGTCAAAGCACGATGGTGATGAGCCGGTCACCCATGAACCAAGGCGACGGTGGTGAGCCGCATCCACCCACCACAGTGAAACAACTGTCAAACTCGGCGGTGGAGAGGACAAAAAGCGCCAGCCACACTTGCTCCACCGCCGAGGTATTGTCGGTATAGGCGCTTGCACTCCTTGCAGGCAGAGAGGGAAAGCAAGGAAAGCTCTTCAAAGAAGTGAAGTGCCATTGATCGAGCACGTCGGGAGGCCAACGCCTCTTTGTCTCGCTTCATCTAGTTGATGCTTTCCGGGCGGGGCATGTCCATGTAGAAGTTGATCGATATTCCTGTTGGGAAGTATCATGTTTTGAGTCGTTTCCCCCAATGGGTCATCCCGTGTAAAGGTGTACATTTTCAGCTGGGACTTCTTGACGAAAAAGCAAGCCCTTTGTAGTTGTGTTAGCAGTTGAGCGTGGTTGTAATGTTGCGAGTTGCTTTCGTCCTGCTGCTCTTGCTGTGCAGCGCCAATGCGGGTCGACGAGGCGCAGAGAAATACGCTGCAGTGTAAAAGCTTGTAACTTGCAAGGAAAGAAGCGTACGCATCGCGTGGCCGCCTCGTGCCCAGCAAAGAGTGTGAGATGGTCGGTTCACAAGACATCAGTGCGCGTTGCGCGAGCAGCGTTTTTGTGCAATGAAGGGGCACTCCAAAGTTTTGTTGTGCACGCTTTTGCTTGAGAGGGTTACCGCTACTTCACCGGTCTTTCACCGATGTGTCGACATATCAGGAGACATCTACTTACTTATCCAAATGTCCGTATATCTGCCTGTTTGTGTATCTAGCTACATTGACCTATCCGTCCATCTGTTTATAGATCAATCTTCAATCTAGCAAGATCTATCTACTTAGCAAGAGCTCAAATGCCACACCTATCTATCTACCCACCTATCCATCTATCTATCTATCTACCTATCCATCCTTGGGATAGGTCTTTTTCTGTCCGCTATCTATCTAAATATTTATTTGTTTGTCTATCTATCTACCTATCCATCTATCTACCCACTTGCGTAGCCTATCAAGCAACCAAGCGACCAATCCAACAAACCAATCAAGCAACCAATCAAGCGAAGAATCACTCAATCAATCAAGCAAGCAAGCAATCAATCGCTCCATCCATCCATCAGGCAAGCAAGCAAGCGACTAACCAACCAACCAACCAATCAATCAATCAATCAATCAATCGATCAATCAATCAATCATTCAACCAATCAATCAATCAATCAGTCAACCAATCAAACAATCAACCAACCAATCAATCAATCAATCATCAGTTAATCAATTCGTCAACCAGTGAAGCAAGCGCTGTGTATACAGACTTATTCACCTCTATCTACCCATCTATCTGTCAATCAATCTGTTTATCTATCGAGATGTCTCGAGAGATATGTACCTATCTGCTGATCTCCCAACACACCTATGCACCAGTGCTCGAGAGTGCTGCGCCTGCCATGAAATCTTCGTGGGCCTTGCAAAAGTGCTGCGCCTGCCACGAACTTTGCGCTAGTGCTGCGAATGGCGCATGAGCTGTGCTTGACCTCGCAAAAGCGCTGCGCCTGCTACGAACTTTGCAATCTACCTTGCGAAAGTGCTGCGCCTGCAACGAAATCTGTGCCTGACCTTGCGAAAGCGCTAGGTCTGCTACAAATCTGCGCCGCTCCTTACGAAGGCGACGCGTTTGCGGCCACACAGTTTGCGCTTGACCTTTCGTTTGCAAAGGCACCAGCCCCGCAAGCCACCAACTGTCCAGCTGCTGTCCTGGACTCAGCTTAGCAACTCTGTCTTGGGGATTTCCGGTTGGCAACCTGAGGCAAGTTCAGGACAAGCGGACTGGTGCTCAGTGTGGCCACGCGTGTGGCTAGTGTTACCTGCATTTGCCAACTCAATGACTGACGGACCCATGGTGAACGAACCCTGGACGGAGGCCAGCTCGGGAGAGGCGGATTGGCACTTAGTGTGGCTACGCGTGCGGTGTTAGCTGTGTTTCTCCGTCTGGGGCTTTGGGCTGGGAAAAATTGTCCCGGCTCGAAAGCCCCAAATAGTTTTGAGCGTGGCTTACCTTTTTGATGGGTGGCCCGGAAATATAGAAACTCGTTAGTACACTCTGACACCTCCCCCACCTAATGAGCGCAACAAAACGTAGACGCGCCAACGTAGACGCGCCAACGTCTCTGCTCACGCAGAGCTTCTGCAAGTTCTGACGAGCGAGCTTGCTTCACAATCTCTCCTGTCAACTTCTCTTGCGCGATGCTGTGAATGGTTGCTGCGCGTGAAGCTACGCGTGTTGTTGCGTGTGATGCTGCGCATGATGTCGCGCATGATGCTGCGCATGATGCTGCGCATGATGTTGCGCATGATGTTGCGCATGGCATGATGCTGCGCATGATGCTGCGCATGATGTTGCGCATGATGCTGCGCATGATGCTGTGCATGATGTTGCGCGTGGCATGATGCTGCGCATGATGCTGCGCATGATGTTGCGCATGATGCTGCGCGTGAAGTTGCGCGCGACGTCGTGCGTGACACTGCGCACAATGCTGTGCGTGATGGTTCCTCTTGTGCATGATGAACCTCCCTCGCCCAACCTTTCATGCCGTTTTCTCTTGTCAACCTCTCGTGTCCATACATGTGCGCATTTGGGCTGTGCAAGAGGCTGGTGGTGGTGGCGGCTGCAGACATGTGTTTTACATACCACTTTTGCGCTCGCAAGTTGTGATTTTCGACATGGAGCTGCGAGAGCTCGCTTCGTGCCGGTTCTGCGGGAAGGTGCTTTGCGTACAACTTTGGACTTGAAAGTTGCGATTCTCGAGCTGGAGGCATGGGAACGCGCTTTGAAACTTGCGACTTTTGAGCCGGAGTGCTACTTTTGCCAATTCAAACTTACGAATTTCGAGCCGCTGCGGGGGCGCGCTTCCCATGCTACTTTTGCACTCAAGAGTTGCGATTTTGCAGCGAGAGCGTCTCGACCCAGACGATCTCCGACAACCAAGACAATTTCGCACGGCGCCACAGCCAGCTCGGACGGGTTCGCCGAGCTCAAGACACATTCGCGTGTCGCCGCAGCGAGGGCGCTTCAACGCGCGCGATCTCTGCTGAGGGTTCGCCGGGAAACGCATTCGCGCGGCGCCGCAGCGAAAATGCTTCAACACGCGCGCGTTCCGGGTTCGCTTTCGTCTTGCAACGCTTACAAATAGCGAAATGCTGCGCCTGCCACGCAAGTCACAGACGATGTTGCTGGAAAATGCGCTTGTCGCGCGATCTGTAGCAGCAGCGCAAAGCATACTGCACCCGCCAGGAAAATGCATGCCAGTGTCACAGAATGCTGCACTGGTCACGGAATCCTGGCCGCAGCGCGCGAATCGAAGATCGGCGCGGCGCCACAGCGAGAGCGCAGTCTTGCAGAAAGGTCCGTTGCATGCGAAGCTGTCGCGCGTAAGACAACTGGCATGGTTCTAGAGGTCGCCTTTGCAGTATTGCGCCCCAACCCGAACCCGAACCCGAACCCGAACCCGAACCCGAACCCCCCCCCCCCCCTCCCCACCAGAACCCGCCCGAACCCGAACCCGAACCCGAACCCGAACCCGAACCCGAACCCGAACCCGAACCCGAACCCGAACCCGAACCCGAACCCGAACCCGAACCCGAACCCGAACCCGAACCCGAACCCGAACCCGAACCCCCCCCCTTGCCAGCAAAAGCCGAAGAATGAGCACGTCGCCACCGCCGCCCGCATTTCGCGACGAGACTGTCGCATTGAAGACATTTTTTTTCGCACAGGGCCAATACTTTGAGCGCGAACCCAGCCTTAACTCCCATCTATTTGGGGATCGAAAGCACACCTTTTCCTCTTGAGCCACGCGGCCATTCCAGCAACTTGCCGCGTCCAAAGTAAAACAAATCGCCTCCCAGCCTGATGAGGCCTCATCGGCAGGAGGTTCGTCCTTCTCCTACACGATTGGCCAGCAGACCCTTGAGGCCACGTGTGATTGGTGGTAGCGCCTTTCCTTTTCGTCGGGCTTCCTTTGGTGATTTACTTTCCTTCCTCACCGGGGCCGAGTGCGACAGGGCTCATGTTTGGATTCCTGCGTCAAAGAGCGCAGCGTTGGTTGTGAGAAGGGGTCTTGCGCATGCAGTCAGCATGGGTGAGCTGTTCACCCGCAAGGCCTACGCTGTAAATGCGAGCCACGCAGCCGCAATGGAAATTCTTTCAACCAGCTATGATGATGATCTTCTCATCGTGTCACGGGCTGTGTTGGAGGCGCGCCAAACAAACAACGCTTGCACGTGATGGTTTACGCCAAACCAGTGTTCAGGAAGTGATCCGAGAGTGGAAGGTGTTGAAGCAGGCAAGACAAGCATCCCGCTGTTTGCGTGTAACAGTTGCCGCTTCGGGAGCAGGCGCTTAGATCGCTTCTTCACACGTGATGTACCACGTGTTGCCATGTCTTGCGGAATAGAGTCACTCTTAGATCCACCCTGGATTGTCAGGCCATTGGCTCAAGATTTTACGCGTTGCGTCAACGCACATGCATTGATGTCGTGTGCCTCCTCGAGTCGACCGACCCTGCGACAAACAACTGCTGGGTGCCGCGGGTTGGTGGGTCAGGGACACGGTCTTTGGTCACCGTGTGGTTGGGGACTTGGCGTGTTGTGGGTAAATCTTTCTTTGTGTTAGTGAGATTGAGTACTGGGTCCCGCTGGCCCCCGCCACATGTGGTGACGAACGAGTTGTGCATTCGCGATGCCAAGCTGGCCGGTCGGAGCCAATCCGACCTCCCTGGGCTCTATGTAGCGTCATCTACTGGGAACTGGGCAAACGAGCTGTGCTTACAATTCCGCCGGAAATAACCCCAAAAGCCGCGCTTGGCGGGATGGACCAAGCGGAAGTTTGAGGGTGCCATTGAAATGGGGTTGGTGGAACGAGTATCTCCGGGCCACTATCCTCAGTCACAGTCTTTTTCGTAGATACTGGTCGCGCAGGAGTAGGGGCCGGATTGCTCTCGCTTCGGGTTATGGGTGGAGAGGATCTGGGAGTGTCGCAGGGCCTTTTGGCGCGCCTTTGGCTATCAGGCTCAAAAGCAGGTCCAGCCACCAGGGGTCTGCTGCATCTGAGCGACCGAAGGCTGAATGACAAAGTGCCAATCATAACAGAGTGTCTGAGCAGACCATATTTGTGATATGCGACAATGCAGCAACACCGGCGCCAGATCTGCACATCAAAGGGGAGTGAGACACCAGCTTATGGGCAATTTCCAGTATACAAAATAACGCCATTGGACAATGCTTAAGTCTGAGCCATGGATTTGATGAGATGAGGTCAGGTTGCTCTTGCAAAGCGTTGTGCCGATCGAACTCCCTGAGGAAATTCCTGGGATTCATTGGCGGCAAAGCCTCGCCAGCTGATGTGTTGGAGGCTGCTTGGTGATGGCTGTCGATTCTTTTGGATGGGTGTCTAACTTAACGTGTTGCTGCAGGAGCTTTCTTCCCAGCTGCTAGGTGCCTTGAGGATGCAATCAGTAATCAGTTCACGCATGTTGGGTGTGTTTTGGTTGGTCTACCAGTTGGCGTTGAAAGAAGTGCTTTTGTGGAGGCAACTCTCATGGCCTTTGATGAGGTGCTGGAGTTACACCGGAGCTTTGGGAGCAGCTGGTGAACCTTGCAAACCTCGAGGTGACGGGGGGGGGAAGCGCTGTGTTGGTGGCTCGCTGCGGCGGAATGGGTGGCAGGAAGAGTTGGAGGACCAACCAAGGCCTGCCAGCTTGCGCTTACACGGCGTGGAGTCAAGCGTCAAATTTACAGGAGAGAGGCCCTTGCTGCATGCTTGTCCAGATGTGGGATACCCAGCGTTGTTTTCGGCTTCGGCACTTGTGCTGTTGGCCTTCAGAACTTCAGGTCCCTACAATTTCTATGCCCTCATTCTGCACTGCGTGGATTCCATCGAGGCTCAGCTTGCCAAGAAGGCGCGGCCGGCCTCCGTGCGTGAATTGGACGCGACCGATGACTGAGGCAGACGCCTTCACAGAAGAAGCCGAGACCGTCCTCGCAAATGCCTTGTTTGCCGGGGCCCAGACGTGGCGACGGCAGGGGTTGGTGGCCACAGCTTCGAGCGTCGCAGATTTTGTCCTACCTCTTCGCAGCGCTGCCGGCAGCCACGGCGCGAGGCGGCGCCTCAAATCCCCCCTGTTGGGTATGGGTCAAAATTAAACCAGGGGACCGCAGGATTTTGTCCATGTTTCCATTTACCAGGGTTCTATTTTGGTTACCTATTTTTGACCCAGACCCTGTTTGGTTCCAGACAATATTTTAGGGATGCGTTCGTTCGCGGGAGGAAGCGACGCAGAGGCTGGCCAGGCGCGCCGTGTTTTTGCCCCCCCACTTTTATCCTGAGAGAGCGAGCTCCGCAGGAGCCCAACGAGGCTGCCAACGTGTCCTTCGCGGAGAAGTTGTGGCAGGCCCTTGGAGCCTTCGAGTCCTGTCACAGCTGAGTTGTTGGCAGGCGCCAGAGAATGGTCTTCGACCGCTCGGTGAGCGAGTTGCGGATGCCGTCATGCGATCCTTGCCGAACTGGCCTGTTGAGAATGCGAGACCCGGCCTGGTCGGTGAGTTGCTACTTCGAGTCAATGCATGTCCAGCTTTTCCGCCTTTTGGCCCGAAAGTTTGGCCAGTCCCGCAGTTTGGTTGGGCCCAAAGGGACCTCAAAAAGCCCGGCCAGGTTTCACGACGGCTTCACCATTGACGGCCCCGATCTTGAGGCGGTCCACAAGTTCTGAGTTGGAAGAACTCGCACGGGGCGAGTAACCTCAGGACTCCGAAGCCCCGGAGATGGTGAATGGAGTCGTGCCCGCGCTGATTTGGCGCGCCCGGGTGACTACTTTTTTTTTTTTTTTTTTTTTTTTTTTTTTTTTTTTTTTTTTTTTTTTTTACAAAATTAAAAATAAATAAACATATATATATATATATATGGTGGGAGGGGGTCTTAGCTATATTATGGTAGGACCCCCCCCCAATACCAAGGTTTTCCTGCTCTAAAATGTACATGTTGCATGTTTTTTTTTTGTATAGAAAGTCGCTTGTTTGAGGTCCTGCTAAAGATCAGAACACATGTCTTACTACAAGTGCTTGATCATCGTTATGTGTCATTGGATGAGTATAGATCACATAACTGACTGATTTATAATTCAGTGTTGGAGTTTATAAACGTCCAAGTTTGGTTTATGAACTCTTGGCAACTCTTGAGGGGGGGGGGTGGGAGGGGGGGGGGGAAGGGGGAGGGGGGTCCGGGCAACTCTTGAGGGGTGGTTGCTGGAACTCTTCCCCCCCCCTCCCCTTCAAGTTGCCGGCCCCTCCCCTCCCCCCCTTCCCCGGACCCCCCCCCCCTCCCCCTCATCCAACTGCCAGGAGTCCAAGAGTTTAGAGTTTATAAACCAGACTTGGAAGTTTATAAACTAAATTTGGGGGAATGCTGAGCCTACACAAATTGAGACCATTTCAATGTACAATTTCAATCTGTTTAATGAACAGCTACTGGCTCGGGCAAATTCAAGCCTATCCGATTCCCGCGCTAATAACCACAATGGCCTGGTATCTCGAGGGCATTAAAGCGGATCCTGAGCAGATCAATCTAGAGGCAGGAGATTTGAACCTCCGAAATATCAAATGTAAATTCCTTTGCAAATAAGATGTTATTTCAAATTGAATTGACATTTTGAATGGAATTTAGCAAGGCCATAGATCATGTGAAAATCTATATTCCATTAGAATTTAAATAAGAATCCCTTTCCAAATCGGAGTTAAAGGCAATTATTCAATTGGCCTCTGAATATCATTTCAAATAGGAGCTCATTCCCAAATGTATTTAGATTAAATGTGGCTTAAACAACAGTGGTATTTGTTTTCATGACGAAACCAGTCCAACCAGAACTTAGGATCAAAATAGAGTTTGAAAATGAGCTCCCTTGCAAACATTGCTTTAATTAAATGTCAATTGAAATGTTAAACAAAATCTAGTAAGGACAAGGTTTTGCATTGCTATTCATTATTCTTGTTGGTCCGGATTTTCTGTCTGTTTTGTTCTTTTTGGGCCTGCGCAAGTTTCAGAGCTTTCATCTTCGTCAGGTTCTGTTTTTTGGGCTGAGAAGGGGCGTAGGCCCAGGTTCAAACCCCAGTAAAATGTGACGAAGCGGGTGGCCCACTTTGGCATTTCAGAAATGTTGGTTTGGTTCACACAACCATGAAGGCAGGATTTCACCAAACGTGCTCAAATGAGGTTGGGTCAACATACTTGGTATAGCAACCATTTGAGAATCAATTGGACATGGATTTGGGGGCAAATGATTGGTACGGTCATCAGCCTCCCTACCGATGGCCTCAGGTTCCTGACTGGCATTTTATGGGGCTCAAGCTGCAAAAAACAGATTGTACGCGTGCTCGAAACCAGTGCAAACATCAAAGTTTCCAATCAAAACCATGCTTGAAGCCGAACACATAAGCCGTCTTGGACTTATTGCCTTTTTCAATCCTCAAAAGACGAAACACCTGCTACCGTAAAGAAGGTGACAAATCATCAACAACACCTTATGTTGCAGCGCTTTCAGTCATGTGCAGAAAGAGGAAGTGCAGAGTAGATATGACGCTTTCCAACTAGCGGCCATCCACCCCCACCTACCTTTCTACACACCAACTACGCAAAACCTCTGATTTTAGAGGCAGAAGTGAGAATCGCAGGGAAACAGCTTTGTGTCCACAGGAATGGTTGTGCTGTCCTGCAACGCTGGTGCAAGAGTTCGGAATAGGAATCGCAGCAACGCATAGGCTGGGTTGGAGAACTTGTGACTTGAGCCAAACGTGGCCACCACTTGTATATGTTACAAACATACATGTCGCTGTGGTACTATTCACAAAAAGCAACAGCAATGAGTTCATAAACTGTCCAACTGGTTGCTGGAAGTCACCTCTGCGTCTGCCCTCAAAGCATCCATCATTTGCCCCACAAGTCAAATAAAATAGAAAACCTTGGTATTGGGAGGGGGTCTTAGCATATATATATATATACATAATAATAAAATGAAATAATAGTTCGTGGTCACGGGCACTGGACTTGATGCAGGCAAGAGGGAGTTGGACCGGAAGGATCCAGTCAGCCCAAAAACGAGATGCAGGAAAACAGGCCTGGCTGTGTGTGCAGCGGGCGTTCTTCTTTTTTGTTCGGTGCGAGCGGCTTGGACAGGGTTGTAGCTCTTCAACTGCTGGTGGCATTTCTTTCTGGCGGAGCTCCTTCTGCGTCCGTGCTTCAGGCCATGAATGATGCTTGGTCAGTTCTCGTGGAGTGCGAAACTGGTGCACGGTTCAGGTTCCTGAACATCCTGAAGATGGAAACGACAACATTGACGCAAAGCTTTCCAGGCACGTGCAGTGGTCAGACTCAGACTCGCATGCGTGCGTGCGCCAGGCTTGTGATTCTGGACCCGAGACCGCTGGCATATCTATCAGATGCAAGCAGGACATGGCCGGATGATGCGTCACTTGCACCCTGCAGACCGGTCCCTCATTTGTCACTTTTTGGTTCAAATTGGTTCGCGGAGGCATGGATATCAAACACCAGCCCTTCATGAGAATGATACGTTTTCCAGGCAACGATACATTCTTCAGACACAACAACCAGGATCTGAACGCGAACCTGCAACTCCTTTTGAGGATAACAATGCCAAACAATCAGACGATTCAGTTTCCACGCCTGCAAAAAGGCTGCCTTTCTTTTGCTGACAAGCACGGGCACCACACTTTTGCCTGTCCGGCTTTCGGTTTGCGGCAAGCAAACTGTGTGCCGGGAGTACGGTACATGGCACGAGCTGTGGCAAGCTGCGAGCTGTGGCAGGACTGTACCATTCAGAGGCGAGCTCTTCTTTTCCCTGATGTCTGTCGCCTTGGGCCTGCTTCCTATAGGGCCTTTCAGCCTTTCTTTGGGCGATGGATTTCAGCTGCGCCGAAGTGAGGCTACGACCCCCATGGGTTTGGGGTGCCGTATGGCGGCTACTTCGCAGGGGCAAAGCAGGAGGCCTTTGCCCACGTTTGCCTCCAGGCACCTGGTGGGAGTCCGACAAAGCACTTGGGAGACACTCAGCTAGGCCCTGGGTCTGCTGCTGCAAGACATGGGAGACGCGGCGGATTCTCAAGGCGCAGAAAAAAGGCGTCCGGCGCTCGCAAAGTTGGCTCGGGAGGTGACCTGGCGGTTTCCTCCAGCCTGGTGGCGAAAAGACCTCAGGAGTCCGACGGGAGCTTGCGGATCTGAGGATTTCGGCGAATGTGCCCGCAGGAGTTGCTGGTTTCCACCAAGTCCATTCCAGAGGAGGAAGGAGGCAGGCCTGAATGGGTGGGCCCTTTGGATGGAAAGGGAAGCATCATGACGCTAATGCAGAAGGCTTTCATTAGGCCTATTCGAATTGGGGCGAGTTGAGTTGAGGGGGTCGTTCTTCTTTTTCTTCTTTTGTTCAGGTGGCGCTGCTCAGAACTTCTTCCGGGAGATGTTGGGGAGCATCAGCTCGGCTTCAGAGGCGCTAAGGTTTCGGGGTCCCTCGGCCTTTAGCTGTTTGTCTGTGTTTGGTCTGTTATTTTTTTGAGGGCACCTGATTTGTTGTGTTTTGACAGGTGGAGTTCATGGTGGAGGGGGTGGTGAAGCTGCTGGGGACGGTCGGCAAGGACTGCGCGGTTCAATAACCGCGCCGCCGGTTTTCGCGCGTCTTGTCAAGGAGAGGAAGAGCTACTTGCCCAGTTCAATGAGGCTCAGACCCAGGGGACGCCCGTGCTGGGTTCGTGTAAAAGGCATTGAAGGGGCTCCCATTTTTTGAGACACATATATGAGTAGATGTCATTTTGGGAGATCCCCAAAATCGCTTCGGTGTTTTCCCTTTAGTTTTGCTAGCAGGCCGACCTTTTTCTCGGCCCGACCAGGCTGCCGCCCTTTCTTCCGGAGCTCCTGGTGTTAGCTGCCTTCTCAGCGTGCCGCGTGCGTCGCGCGTCGCGTGCCGCCTGTGCCGGCGTGGCAGAGCTGAGTCGCGCGAGTCCGAGGTCTTGCACTTGACGGCGTGCCCAAAGTTCGTGGCAGGCATGGTAAAAATAGACTAAAATGGGTGGTGAATTCACCTACCCCAAAATGGGATCCCAAAACGGTTTTGACAACCACAGCCACATCTTTTGTTTCCTTTGCCACAGCCTTGGCATGGCTTTGCAGGCGCTTGTGCTCCGACCTCAGCAGTTGAATGGGCTGCTTGAAGCCGGATACAGCCAGAATTTTGACGTGGTATCAGCCAGTGGTTCGGGTACTTTGACTTATGTGTCGGCGCAGAGTCAAACGCACGTCCCGGAACGTGCGAAGCCATCCAGGGCCTTCAGTGAGAGCTGTAGGCGGAGGAAGATGTGGTCGGCCTGATAGAAGGCGTGCTGCTCGCAGCAAGCCAGGCGAGATCGGTCGTGCAGCTTTGGAAGCTGAGGGCAGAAACGCGGCCAGGCTCCGCAACATGTCTGCGAGACCACTTTGAGCCTAATCGAGGCTGGGCCCGGGATCTGCTGTGGATGGATGAAATCCTGCACCACTTTGAAACCAGAGCCATATTTCCAGGGTTTCTTAGGTGGTGCGAAATGGATTTCGTCCATCCACAGTATGGGTTATATGTTCTTGGCCGAGTGGTCTTTGCGGCCTTTGCCGCGCTTGAAGCGCCGCTGTGAGGCGGCGATTTTGCTGAACCTCACCTCGTGCCCTTGCGCGGCTTGGGGGGGAGGGACTGGAACTGGAGCTGAGTGGAAAAGGACGCCACTCTTGTCTTGGAGCGAGGTATCGGGAAGTTTGTGTCCAGCTGGATGAGGAGAGCTCTGAGAGGACTTCTTTCGGGAGAAGTGCCCAGCAAATTGTGCCCTTGCAGGACTTCGAGGGGAACCTGCCTGAAAGCATTCCCGACTTCGAGGCTCGATGCAGCTGAGGCGCAAAAAGTGAGCGGCAAGCAGCCTGAGCCAGGGCTCCGCGGCGGACTTCGTGGCAATGGCTGCGTTGACACAGGCCACGCAAGCTGAGTTGTGGTTCATGATGCAATGTTGACATCCAGGCGAGTGAGTACCTGAACAAGAAGTCCAAGGTCGCAGCCGTATTCATTGCTGGACGCACAGAAAGCTTGATGGAGCTGAGGCCAGCAAGGTGCACGAGAGCATCGTGCAGGCTGGCTCGTTGACTTGAGCTTGATCGGTCCGAGTGCCTCTTTGCGTAGATGAGCCTGGCCACCCTTGCAAACGTGTCCACCTTTGCGGACGGCTTTTGCATTGAGCTCTGCTCGCGTTTGCGGGGGGCCTTGGTTCCGAAATTCTCCGGGTTTTGGCCGGGTCGGTTTGTGGAGGGGTAGGGGATCGTTCAGCCTTTGAGAAGAGACCACCATTTGGGAGGGCTGCCAGTCAAAATGATATTGCCTCACCTGGTGGAGTTTCCGAGGTTCTCACTCTTCGAGCGCTGCGCGAAGTCGTTGCAGGCCAAGCGTGACAGGCCAGGCTGTGCTTTTCTTTTGTCTGTTCTGCCCACAGATTCGTTGCAGCAGTCGGAAGCTGCCCAGCCGCAGGCAATGGCTTGGCAGCCACATCCCAATCCTGCTGGAAGTTGGGATCTCAAGTGCTTTGCGGTTCACGCACGGATCTCGCATTCTGTGCAGCCGATCTCCCGCATTTGAAATGCCAGGCATTCGACAATGCCCTACAGTGCGGGCCCCGCGAGGTGCGTGGCTTCTGAGCTGATCCTACAGTGAGAGGTACAAATACTCCGGGAACATGAACCTGGCCTATGGTCTTATGACCAGACAGGCAGGGCAGATGCGTTTTGGTCCCACCAATCCTGATCTTTTTTGGCATCACCTCTTGAAGCCATGTGCAAATTTGAGTTTCTCTTTGCGCTCTTTGCCAGGCCATCTTCCGGGATCTCGTGTCAACGGCATCTCGATTTAAATGGAATGGGCAGGCGCTCAGCGCTCGCCCGGCGTTTGGACCGGACCGAGGTGCCCCAAGTTTCGTTGGCACTGACAGCGCCAGACGAGGCACATATTAGACTTGAAGGTTGTGTCAGTCCGTGGCTTTGGTCTAAGTCAAAGACCTGGGTACTCATCAGAACAGAGAAGATGTTTGCTATGGGCGACAGGCTTTTTGAAACCGCAAAGGCGTTCTGATTCTGCTCGGCTGACTTTGCATCAGGATGCCCAAGAGATGACTCGGCAGTGGCAACAAGCAGTTGAGGCGCGCCTGGTGCTTGCGGATGTCGGGATAGGGTCCTCGCACACACACACACCCGCCAACGCACACTCATAGAGAGAGGCAAGCGTGCATGAAGCGCACGTGTTGCTGCCCACCAACCCACCAACCAACCAACCAACCCACACCAACACACACCAACCCATACAGAGCAACACACACACACAGAGCAACACAACACACTCAAAACGCATCCCACCAACACACCACACACCCTAATCCCCCGACAACAGCAATACAACCACACACCAGCACACCAACACACCAACCATCAGGACACCAGCACACCAGCACACCGACGCACCAGCACACCAGCACACCAGCACAACAACGTACTAATTCGTACCCATGCCACACACAACGGAACACACACAAACACAGACACAAATGCACAAACACCCTACACCTCGCACAGCACCCCCCCCCCCCCCGTGGCAGGGAAGACTAGGTCCTATGTGGCGTGCGCGCGCGGGATGATTGTTTCCCCCAAAGTGGTACGCGCGGGCGGGATGTTTCCCTCACTCATGATACACACACACATGCGCGCACACACACACACACACACACGCACACACACGCACCCACACACCCACACACCCACACACCCACACACCCACGCACCCACGCACCCACGCACCCACACACACACACAAACACACAAACACACAAACACACAAACACACAAACACACAAACACACAAACACACAAACACACAAACACACAAACACACAAACACACAAACACACAAACACACAAACACACAAACACACAAACACACAAACACACAAACACACAAACACACACAAAACACACAAACACACAAACACAAACACACAAACACACAAACACACAAACACACAAACACACAAACACACAAACACACAAACACACAACACACAAACACACAAACACACAAACACACAAACACTCAAACACACAAACACACAAACACACAAACACACAAACACACAAACACACAAACACACAAACACACAAACACACAAACACACAAACACACAAACACACAAACACACAAACACACAAACACACAAACACACAAACACACAAACACACAAACTCACAAACACACAAACTCACAAACTCACAAACACACAAACACACAAACACACAAACACACAAACACACAAACACACAAACACACAAACACACAAACACACAAACACACAAACACACAAACACACAAACACACAAACACACAAACACACAAACACACAAACACTCAAACACACAAACACACAAACACTCAAACACACAAACACACAAACACACAAACACACAAACACACAAACACACAAACACACAAACACACAAACACACAAACACACAAACACACAAGCACACAAGCACACAAACACACAAACACACAAGCACACAAACACACACACACACAAACACACAAACACACAAACATACAAACACACAAACACACAAACACACAAACACACAAACACACAAACACACAAACACACAAAC